CTGGTCTGATAAAGACTGGTGAAATCCCCAAGACTATGGCCCCTAGTCACCCTTCTGGACTGGAATTGCACTTACTCCCAGGGCTTCCAGCCAAACCATAGACAGTCATATAGGATGAACATTTACACCAGGCAGGTACACTCCTTAGAACAATCAAACATGGGAGATCAGAAGGGCAGTATTTGCACAGGGAGATAGCTCAGAGGGCAGGAACACATGGGAAAGAAGGGCAAAGGGAAAAGGTAGTCACAGGGAGGAAGTGGGAGGGGGGCTATTATATTGTGGGGACTGCAATCAATGTTATGAAATAAAATGTGTATAAACTGTTGTATGGAAATGAATTTGCTCTGTAAAGTTTCATCCAAATCACAATAAAAACTTATAATAACCTCAAACAACAAAAACAAAAAAAAAACAATGTTTTAATGTTGGGTTAAGAGGAGCAACTCACAGCTCATTTCATTCTCCAGTCAACTTAAGCTGAGTCCCTGGACTAAGCTCACATTATTCTGGTCATCTAGGAAAGTCACTATCCCTATTGGATAGTCCTCCTTGACAAAAAAAAAAAATTACTAAGTATCCAGCAATTTCCTATAAAGGATAACTCAGGTATATGGATGCTCTGTGTCAACTGAAAAGGCTTGACAAACATAAGGTGATATGGCATCTTGTCTTTTGTGTTTGCATAGAGAGAACTAACTCTAACAATTATGAAAAGTCAAATCCTAACTCAAAGACAATTTGAGAAATAAAAGAGGTGCCACTTGAAAAAAGTGTTCTCAAGACAACTCCAGATTCAGATATTTTCATTTCTGTAATCCTTAAGAAGTAAATATAACCACTATTAAATTTGTAAAGTTTCCTCTAATTATCTAGGTAACATATGCCTATAGAAGTAGTCAAGGATTTCATTTTACTTGGATCCACAATCAATGCTCATGGAAGCAGCAGTCAAGAAATCAGATGAGTACTACACTGGGAAAATCTGCTGTAAAATACCTCTTAAAATGGTTAAAAAGCAAAAATGTCACTTTGAGGACTAAGGTGCACCTGACCCAATCCATGGTATTTTCAATCACCTCATATGCATGGAAAAGTTGGACAGTGATACTGAAGACCAAAGAAGAAACTGATTCATTTGAGTTGTGGAGATGGTGAAGAATAATAAATACACCATAGGCTGCCAGAAGAATGAACAAATCTGTCTTGAAGAACTACAGCCAGAATATTCCTTAGAAGCAAAGACGGTGAGACTTCACCTCACCTTCTTTGGACATGTTTATTAGAAGGACCAGTCCCTGGAGAAAGATATACTTGGCAAAACAGACGGTCAGTGAAAAAGAGGAAGACCCTCAACAAGATGCAATGACATGAGTGGCTGCATTAGTGGGCTCAGACATAGCAAAGATTTTGAGGATGGTGCAGACTGAGTAGTGTTTTGTTTTGTTGTATACAGGGTCACTGTGAATCAGAACTCACTCGATGGCACCTAATGACAACCCTTAGTTTTAAAAACAAACAAACCATAATCACAAGGATTTTCTAACAGTTCCAATTTCTTCTATGGGGGGCGGGGTCTGCTGTAGGGGGGTGTAAGTGATTTTTTTTTTTTTTTTAATTTTACTCAAAGCAGAAAAAAAGGACTGATTTATTTTTCTTTGGAATAAGTTGCTGCTGGATTCTGCACATTGCAGTTCTTTGGCAATGTGATGAGAACACATACCCACCCACAGACACTAATTTTGCTCTTCAACCCTCCCAAGCTGCCTTTATGACATATGCTGTCTACGCTCCATTTAATGGAATTCAAGAGACCCAGTCAAACAGTGGGGCCATAGACGTCAGAGCAGAGGCAGGCAATCCATCTCTTCCACCTGATAGGTACAAAGAACTCTATTTAAAAGAAAACCGTGAAAAAGCCAAACCTAGCTTGGACATCTCCAATCTGGAAATCATTACAACTGCCTGAGTTAACAGTGAAAACTAAAAGCTACCTCTTGGTTGAAATCTACAATGAGATAATATCTTGTTGTGGTTCCTTGCGTGCTGAGCTCTGTGAAGACGATGCAGTCCTCACTCCCCGAGTTGCTGTCAGAACGTGCAACAAGGAAGGTACCACTGTCATCCAAGCCAAAAGCTCTTTCGAAGAGGGCTGAAGTGCCAGCCCAGTTCTGAAACACTTGCTTTTTCTACAGCGAGCATTAGTCATGAAAAAATGGTGACTAAGACTCCAACTGGAAAGACACATGGCTTCCACGACTGTCCTGCACGTGCCCCAAGATAATCTGAGCACAAATGGCAATGCAAACAGCCATTAGCAAACATACCTGAAGAATGCTCAGGAGTAATAAAAGTCCATGCTGGTTTGATAAGACAGTCGTCATTCACCCCCATCTAAACTGGGATTTGTGCCCTGAAAAGGCTTTTCTGTACTTCTCTCTGGCTTTTCTGAGCTACACAGGAAAGTAGCTATTTCCAGACAATGATAGAAGATTTATCTACAAGTGTTACTAATCCCACTCACTATGTAGGCAGTGACCATAAACTCCAGATGTGGGGAGGATAGTCTAATAGCAGAACTGTGAGGAATGGACAACAGGCAATGGACAGCTCAAGCCCTCCCCCTAGGGGCTACAATTATCCCCACAGATCTATAAATCATTTATCCGCACACCAAGAACAGACTGCAGATTCAACAAATAGGTCTCTCTAAATATAAGTATTTTTAAATGTTGATAGATGATCTGTAATTGTTTTAAATAAATCTATTTTTTATTAAATGCTTATGTAATTAATAATGAGTTACTTCAGTCCTAGTGATGCAGTGGTTAAGAGCTCAGCTATTAATCTAAAGGCCAGCAGTTCAAATCCACCAGCCACTCCACAGGAGATATATGTGGCAGTCTGCTTCCATAAAGATTACAGCCTCGGAAACCCCATGGGGCAGTTCTGACCTGTCCTAGAGGGTCAGTGAGTCAGAATGAATCCATGGCAGTGGGTTTGGTTTTTGGTTTGGTGAGTACTTAGAAAGAAGATTTTAACAGACGCTAAAGGGAAGGGGTTTTTATACAACAGAATGGGAAAAACATACATCACAGAAAAAAGACATTTTCATTAAAAACACCAAAAAACTCAAGAATTTAAAAAAAAAAATTTTTTTTTTTTGGTATACCTGACTGTATTACATGTATTACATGTTGGTAGGCCTCAAGGAAAAATGATAAATTTGAACCTAACATTTCAGCAAAATCAGATCAGAGAAAATTAGCTATTCTGCTTTCAAGATAAAATTAATTCCCATTATTTTTCTGATGACTCTTAACAAAAAGAACCCTATGTGGAGTTTGGTACCCATCACTGCTGTGTGAGAGAGCCACATTCAGTATATGACTACAAAATAAGGACTTTAGCTAATAATTTTAGTAGCTTTTCTTCTACAACTTTGTGAAAACTGCTAATGAGAAGAATAAAAACGGCCCTCACTTAGAATCTGAAGTATTTTTTAATATCCTCAAAACGTTATTATTAAATATGCACTATAAAATATTAAATATACACACACATAAAAATAAACACTACAGATGTGGGCAGGAAAATTCTTAGCAAAACCCCCACATATTTCAAATACTGTTCTTCCTCATTATTGTCCTCTACCATAATTAGCATGTTACAGCATAACAGGTGGCTCTCATTTATAGAATGCAAAATTAATGAAATTTAGAGATGGTCCTGTCTCTAAAAACAAATCGGCCATTCTAAAAAAAAAAAAAGAACCCTAATCTACAAAATAAACAAAAAACATGAAATCAACTCTTTTCATGCTGACTTCCCGTATCATCTGAATTTCTAAATGCGTTTAGATAAATAAATTGAATGCATTTGTCGACAGTTCAAAATTCATGTACCTCAAAGAAAACAAGACACCATTATGGATTTTATAAGAATAGAGGAAAAAACGAAGTCTGCCAATTTTTTTGCAGCTTGATAACCCAAGATCTCTTTAATGTACCACCACAGATTGGTCTGCTTCACAAATGCAAAATCTTAGGGAAATTCATGGGCAGTTGTGTTATAGGTCCTGACCCAGCCATTCTGGACAGACAGACCAGGAAAGCATAAATAGTACTGCTATAAACTAACTATAGCATCTGTCCCTAACAAGTAAGACTCAAGAAGTCTTTTTTAAAAATATGAGGAGACACTGAATAGACTGTCAACACACACAGGAATGTTTAATATACTCAAATAAACAAGATATGTGCCTTAACTAGCCAGGCGTTGCTTAAATTTAGTGAGTGAAGAGAGGGTCAGACAGGCAGACACAGCCTTCCAATTATGCAGAACGATCCCTCAGATCATATGATAGTTAAAATTAAATGTTGCTTCCAAATCTCCACTACCCTTTCACCCACCCAGAAAAAGTGAATGCATGAATTCAGAATGGGCAAATTTTGATTTGCAAAAACAATCAGATTCTTTCATTAGGAAAACAAAGGTATCTTGTATTAAGACATGCATCTCGGGGGTAAGGAAAAAAGCACAATGTTGGGGGGGTGGAAATCCAACATAATCCAACAGTTATCATTAGACCACCTCCTTCAGCTCACCTCTGCTTATCTGCCCCACCCCCCCAATCTACCTACCCAAAAGGTAGACCATCTATGCAAGCTGTCTCCCAGGCAGCATCTTTTAAATGCAAGACTTAATCAAAGGGATTTTATAAAACCATTTCTATTTGAATATCTAAGGATTAATGTGTTTTTAGAAAGGGAGATGGATGGACAAGAGCTCTGTATTCATCTAAACACCAGTGGTTACCTATCTATCTGTCCTTGCATGTGGACACATGCACATCTACATATACACACACACTTCAGCTCTTTACAGTCATAATATTTTTTCTCCCTTAAAAAAAAAAAAAACGTTGAAAGCAAACACCGGAAAGGTTAGGCAGAAGAGAACATTGAAAAATAAAGTTCATGTAAACAGTAAGCACGTACCTGCCAGGAGATGCCATTTCCTCTACATTTTAGAGCCCAAGTGCTGGGTATTAGCATTATTGCTACTATAAGACTTCAGATAAAAATGGATCGTCTCTTGCTGACCTGAGAACCAGCTGGCTGCTTGAGAAGTGGTTTCCCCCATATATGATTCAGTCTCCTTGACAAATATACTGCATTGTACTGGATGAGTCATCCGAGGGTTAGTCCGCATTTTATAGGCCTGTTGTGTCATTACTCACATTCAACATCCTGCTTCTCAAAAGTGGAAGCTGGAAGCCTGACAGCTGACGGATGCTTCTTCCAATTAAAATATTGTTTAAAAAAATTCCTGTAAGTTACGGTTATCAATCATTGATGATACTCTGAAATGCCCACGAAACCAATGGCACGATACAATATCTGAGATTACAGGCTGCAGGACCACAAGTGTGAATTGTTCACCCATTCTACCCTAAAACCAAGTAATTCTGTTCACATTTGAGAGCCAAGATCCCCTCCTTTAAGCTCTCAGTGGAATTAATACAGGCATGGACCCTGTTGATTCTTACTGGAGTAAGGTTACTCAGGTGCAGAACTATATAAAAACCAAAAATCAAAATTTTGGTCCCTGGGTATTAGATGACATGAAGGAATCATTTCCTTGATATGTGTTAAAAACTTGTTTAATTTTGTTACATGGGATAGTAGCATTGTGCATATAAAAATACCTACTTTTTAGAGAGGTATTCTGGAGTATGTTAGAGGTGAAATGAAATGATATCTGGGGAATTGGTTTTAAAATATTTTAGCCAAAGGAAAAAAAAGGGAAGAAATGTAATATCTCAATAACTGCTGCATCTGTCTGGTGAGTATATAGGGATTTATTGTACCATTCTCTATTCTTTTGAGCATCTCCACAATTTTTCATAAATATTTTAAAAAAATAATTAAAAAATGTTTTCCTCATCATTACGTCGTAATTTATATCCGAACATGGCACTTTTCCACTTAGGTATGAACCTATCTAAAAATAGATGGGTGGGAGATAAGGAGCTTTTAACACCACACAAATGGAGGGATTGGGAGGAAGTCACCATTCACACAGTGCAACAAAGTGGCCCTGTGGGCATGGAAGCTGGACCTGCAATTGTTTCTACCTTCAGGTATGATACACATGCCCTCAGGCCATTGTAAGGGCTCTAAACAAATGCCCGGCCCCTTCCTCCAAGATAGTCTGTTTCCTATGCTTTCTTCGAGAACACAAACCCTGCCTCATTCACTAGCTCAATGTTGACTTTATGAAGGAGAGGTGCCTATCTCCAGCTTCCTTATATGGTTTTGGAAACACTCTATGAGACGTTATGTAAGTCACCATCCAGAGTCCCCTTACACCAACAAGTCCCTTTTGTAAGGTGGCGCAGTGTTTGCTTGACTCCTTTAATGCTCAAATTGGCTACTTAAACCACTTAAAGAGGGAAGAGGATTTTTGATTTCATGGCCTAAAAAAGAAATTCAGATTAGGAAACTTCAATGTATGTTAAATGAAATCACTTGTTAAATAGCTGCAATTTAAAAAACTGTCCACATCAATACACTGTGAAAATATGACAGTTACCATAGTAAGGATAAAATACCAAGGTCCTACTAAAGGCAAACAACTAAAGGATGAGGGGGATGTTCAGGCTGAGGGTCCCACCTAAGCCTCAATTTTCAGAGGACAATATCCAACATGATGGATAACCAGCTACAAACGGCTCTAACAGCCTCCACACAACATAAATTACAACCTCACTAGTCCACACTCATTTGGACTGTGTGTGGGTCTGAACTGAAACCTTCTTGGCTTTAACAAATTCTTTTCTCCTAAGGACTGCAAGCTACAGGCTTATCAAAACCCTCCCTCACAGGTTAATAACCTTTCACCCACTTCCAAAGCATAATTTACCTTAAAAGAAATGGAGAAATCAATAAACTTCTAAGTCAAACTTGGGTTTTCTTAAGCATTTTCAAGAAATAAATCCAGAGTTCCTTAAAGAGTTTTGTAATTCAGATCTCACTAACTAAAAACACAAAAATAATGACAATCATAATGTGTGAGTATGCAAGTATGCTCAAATGTTAACAATTAATAATTGAGGAAGATGAATGACACAGAGAAATCCTTTGTACACTTCTTGCAATGTTTCTGTAAGTATGAAAATTTCAAGATAAATTTAAACACACACATATGAAAGAAAATAGATATAGCTGCTACTTCAAATAATTTTCATGGATTTAATAACCACTAAGGAGTTACCTGGGAGCTCTGGTAGCACAGTGCCTAAGGCACTTGACTGCTAACCAGAAGGCTGGCAGTTCAAACCCACTGGCCACTCCTCAGAAGGAAGACGGGGCAATCTACTTCTGTAGTGATACTGCCTCGGAAACCCAAGGAGGGTTGCTATGAGTCAGGTCCGACTCGACGGCACATAACAACAACAACAACAAGGAGCTACCTAAGGCATTTATTTGACTGCTAATCAGAAGGCTGGTGGGTCAAACCCACCAGCCACTCCTTAGAAGGAAGGCTGGCCAATCTACTTCCATAGAGGTATTGCCTCGGAAGCCCAAGGAAGGGTTGCTATGAGTCAGAACCTACTTGATGGCAGTGGTTGTTTGTATAATTGCTGTAAAAGGAGCTCTGGTGGTGCAGTGCCTAAGGCATCTGACTGCTAATCAGAAGGTCGGTGGCTCAAATCCACCAGCCATTCTCCGGAAGGAAGACAGGGCAATCTATTTCTGTAAAGATTTACTGCCTAGGAAACCCAGTGAGGTCACTATGAGTTGGAATCAACCTGATGGCAGTGGGTTCGGTTTTTCGGTATACCTGCTGTAAGGGGCCACAGTGGCACAGTGTTTAAGTGCTCTGCTGTAAACTCATCAGCCACTCCATGGAATAAAGATGTGGCAATCTGTTTCTATAAAATTACAGCCTTGGAAACCCTTGGCAGTTCTACTCTGTCTGAAAGGGCCACTATGAGTTGGAATCGACTTGACCAACAGCAACAGGCTTGGTTTCTGGGTATAGGTGCTGTCAGAGTCTTGGCTGCTAACTCAAAAAGTCAGTGATTCGCACCCCTCAGTCGCTGTGCAGGAGAAAGATGAAGGAGTCTGCCTCTGTGAAGATTTACCACCTTGGAAACCCTATGGGGCAGTTCTACTCTTTCCCATGGGGTGGGTAACTATGTATGGGAATCGACTAGATAGCTGCGGGCTGACACCCACCCATTTAAAAAAAATCTTGGACCACAAAAATTTACCAAAACAGTTAACAGAGGGAAATACCTCTGGGTTAGGGTTTCCCAGAGGGTGTTCCTTGCAAACAATCTTGTAAGAGGTGCCTCAAAGAAGCCAAACAAACATTCTAGAAAAACGACATACCATATCCCCAAGAATACTGTTTAAGTTTGTCTAGTCTTATATTTCCCAATTTATTTGACCACAGAGTACCTCTTCCTCTCAATACCTATTACTATTTATCATCCAGAACCCTGAAAAAAAGCACTTTGGGAAACAGTGCTGTAGGTGATAGACATGGAATACATTTTTCTGATCTCTTACTTTTTCTTCACAACATGTTTTACCTATTGTAACTACAAAAATATGCAAATTTTTGTCATGATTTCCATTTGGTCAACCTGCATGGCTTTTGGTCCATAATCTGTCAGAAAACTACTTGCGCTATGTGATTATTCTGTGTCTCAAACTCTTGATCAAACCAGAGTGGCTAATGCCACCATCAGTGGCAGCCAAGGAGCCCATTAAAAAAAAAAAAAAAAAAAAAGTTGCTGTTGAGCAGATTCTGATTCATGGAGAGCCCATATGAAGTAGAACTGCTCCTCTGAGTTTACAATGGCTGATATTTCAAAGTCGATTGCCAGGCCTCTCTTCCATGGCACCGCTGGGTGAGTTTGAATCACCAATCTTTTGGTTGGTAGTTGAGTGTCAACTGTTTGTGCCCTTCTGGGACCTTGACCTATATGTATAATGGGGTTGGCAACTTACACCAGTGTTGACAGTCCCTGGTAAGAGCCAACTGGCCCTGGATAGCAGCTTGCTCCAGGCCCAGGTCACCTGGCCATTTTCAGAGCAAACACTGGGTCTTAGAACCTAGAAAGCAGCCTGGATGTATTTGGTCTCTGAGCTCACCAGGCCTTTATATACCCATCTCCCAGCACTGATCCTTGGATGGTAAGAAGGAAACTAGGCTGGGAACCACAGCAGAACATGGCTTCCAATTTCAATAACCTTGCAAACAGACTCTTGATTTTAAAATTTCTGCCATGTATTACTTTGTACAAGGTTTTATAAATTATCTGTTTGCAGGTATACTTTTTGGCTAAAGTTCAAATACTGGCTAACATCGAGATCTAAAAGCAAATACAAACATCAGTGATGTACTGGATCAATGAGGTACTTACAGGCTGTACTACATAGTGGTAAAAGGCACGAGCCTGGAGTCAAGCTATCTTGGTTAAAAAATCCAGCTGTACCCTTACTTAAGCTACTATTTATCATCTCTAAATCTGTTTCCTTATCTGCAAATGGGAATAATACTATTAATAAGTTCACAGAGTCATTTTGAAGGAAGTATGATAATAAGTATTAAATTTTAGGGCTTGGCACCTACAAAGCATTCATTAACTTATGTAAAGAACATGGATGAGGTTATTTGTAAATTTTATGAATTTAGACTCTCAGGGATGGGCAAACTATGGGCAAACACTCATTTCGTACATACTTTATATGGCTGTCTTAGAGCTACAAAGGCAGAATTGCCCAGTTGTTAAAAGGAACTAGAGAGTCTGCCGACCCTGGTGATCTACACTTGGGTTGATAAAGAACCAGGCCTTTTCTCTACAGAACTTGTGGTCCTCAGTCCCTTATTCTGCTTAACGTCCCAATTCAACACTACTGGCAAGTTTCAGAATCATACAAATATGGTCAAATGTTAACAAATAGGGAATTTGGATGAATGGCATAGAGGAGTCATTTGTATTATTCTTGCAATTTTTCTGTAATTATTAAATATTTCAAAAT